AGGAGGGGTGTCCTGACCTGAGGATTAGTCGGGTAGAGAGAGTGTGCTGAAAGTCATTGCTCTGGTGTAGGCATGTCAAGGCACCACCTGTGAGTCTGTAGGTACCAGCTCTCCTCGCATCTCCCACATTCCTATGAGAAAGCATTTTTCAGCCTCCCTTTTCTGTGGCCATAGGAGCTAAGTTGCCTTCTTCCTCAGCTGCTCAGAGAGACACAGAAGGATCCTGCCCTCTGAGTTCTCCGGATCCACATACCTAAACATTTTGCCACCCGCCATGTGCCAGGCAGTGTGGGGGAGCCTCCAGTGGTTGGCACTGCATCCTCTGGAGGAGGCCAGGAAGATAAGTCACATCTACTCGTGATGTCTGTTGCCTGGAAATCCCAGATGTGTCTGTAGATTGTCTGCTCTGGAGGATCTCCCACTGAGCAAGACACAGCTCTTGAAGCAGTGTTTGTGGCTAGTGTTGGCTGTTATAGAGTTCACTGAGCACCTTTTCCAGGATGACTTCCTTCTGCTTTAGGCTGCTGAGGGGTTGTTTGTGTATGATGCTTTGTGTGTGGGAGGTGGTTTTGTTACTGCACCATTGTTGGACTCCGTTTGGGCACTCTGCCCATTTGTGATTAATGATGTTTTGAGTTGAGGCTCTAAGGTGTTTTCAGGCATACTCCAGGTACCAGAAGTAAAAGAAGTGTTGTTATCATCAAGGTACTTCAATATAATATCAAATGTAATCAGAAGTGAATTAATTAAAGCAGTGTGTATATATAAGTCCTGTTATATGGTTGGACTTGATGATCTCAAGGGTCTTTTCCAACCTAAACAATTCTATGATTATGGTGGATGGTCAAGCAACTCATAGGGCATAAGTTTTTCAGAGTTTTGTAACCCTCTCCTCTCCAAAAGAAGGTGGTAGCTTGGCAGTAGACACTGGAACTGATATCAGAGGGCACACCTCTCCTGCAAAGGCCTCTCAGTGAAACATGACTCTGAAACAGGTCAGAAAATCGTAGTGGCTGAGCAGTGTGTGTTGCTAATCTAGCTGTGGAGGAGGCCACAAGCTGGCAGGCCAGAGCCATGAGATTCAGATGATGAGGAGCTGAAACGGCAGCTTCAACTCAGCCTGTGCCAGGATGATGGGCTGACTTGGGTGGCCCTGGTTTGGTGTTTTGGGTCTGACAAAAGGTGTTCTGGCCACATCTGAGCAGCAGTAACCTGTGTGGAGGAGGCTGGGAAGCCAGAAGCTGGTGGAAACATGGGTAAATTGGGCCTGGAACCCACTTGGCATACATCTGAGACTGTTTGCCAAGCATAGTATGTTATCTTGATATGTATGAAGCTTGTGACTTTATTTTCCCAACATGTTTCAAAAAGCACCAAACAGAGAGGAGATTAAAATGACCCAAAATGTTGAGAGCACTAAAGAAAGGGGGCACTTTTAAAATCCTCACGTCTGCTTGAACCAAGCTCCGACTTTCAGAGCTGCAACTCTGTGATTTGGACATGGCAGAGAGAGGAAATGGGTTGATGTAGAAGCTGAAAATGAAGCAAAATGTAAAACTTTGTCTTCAATGTACTTAGTATTAGCACTCTGTTTGCTGCTTTGGTCTTTCGAGCTACTTGGGTTTACTGCTGGAGAGGGTTGAAAGGTGATTCATTCGTAGTTTGCACGTACCTAAAAAGGGAAGACGTTTCTGGTTGCTAGATGAGGTTCAAATTTACCAGAGAAAGGCAGAGAGATCTCTTGGCTGAAAGCCAAAGTTAGAGAAATTCAGGCTCGGAATAAAGGCTGCAATTTAAACAATACGAATGAAAACCAGTGAAAGGCCTTTGGCTGGCATTAAGCAGACTCATCAGCAGTTAATGGCTCTAAATGAGGATTTCTGTGTTTTTCTAAAAGATGCAGGAATTATGAAGAGAGACTTTCTAGCTCAGAGCAGCCCTTCCAGGAGATCAAGGCTGGGCTTCCCTTTCAACCGGAGCGGCGTGTGGATGGCTCTGGATGCTGTGTCCCCTGGCTTGGGCTCTTCCATGCTGCTGTCCGAGCAGAAGCCACGCTTGTAGTGTGACAGGAAGGCGCACAGATGTGCTGGGTGTCAGGGAACGCAGCTCTGTGTCTTTGTGCACTTTTCCCAGACACAGTCCAACATATTTCTGGATCGGATTCCCTTTTCACTAACCTGTCTTATTCAGCTGGGGAATTACAGCTCATGAAGTACAGCTTGTGAGCTGAACACACAGTCCCTTTCCCTCCCATAGTAAGACAGCTGAAGACGTGCAATCTGGGGAGGAAACATATTTTCTGCCCTTTTTCTGGGCAGGACACTCTGCTGAAATGGTGTGATGCAGGCAGAGCCCCTGCCCTGTGTGAGCATCAGCTCCATCTCTGCTGCACTCGGCACATGTCTCTTTGGACCTGCCTACTTATGAATGTCATATAATTTATCACTGGAGGCCAAGAGCGCAAGGTGCAAGAGGTGCATGGGTTTGGGTGAGGTGTGATTCACATCTGTGGGGAGGAACCAGGGGATAGAGATCTTGGAAGGTTTCTTGCTTGTCCTTGGCCCTTTCTTTCAATGATCTTCAGGCTTCTGGGCTTTGCTATGCTCTTGCCAGCATTTTCTGTGGAGAGGGGCTGGGCTGACACATCTTTCTCTCAGGCCGTGCTGCCTGCTTCATGATTCTGTAGACCACAAGCCTGAAAATAATATGAAGCAGATACCCCAATGCCAAGGTCAGGACCTTCCCAGTATCTAAGGCATATGTATACTGTTGGCATGGTACAGGGTGACCTCAGTGTACAATAGGAACCAACTGACACACACGTTCAGACAGAATAAATATTTGACAGAGTCTATTTCTCTATTCCCTAAAATGACCCCTATAAAAGCAAGGTCCTGTTTACCTTCCCAGCTCTTTGTGCACAGTGTTCTGAGAAGAGACAAGCTCTCTTCCCCATTCATTGCCTTCCTGCTCTTCTGGGTGACCCATTTCTAGGCAAGGATCAGCGATACTGGCTTCACAAAACCCAGGACATCTTGGATTTTCACAGAACTCCTGAAATTTGGGGAAAGTTGGAACTGGTTTTGTTCAGCAGTCTCTGTGTCTCTGCCAAAGCACAGTGACCTGGAAGCAGTGCAAGATGTCAGCGTGCAGCCCAAAGCAGTTGCCTGCAGCCATCCAAGCCATTTTTCATGCTGTCCCTGCCCCATTAGCACATGTGCAGCCCTCCCTGTCCTGCTGCCTGTGGCTTTCTCAGGTTTCTCAGGAGCCTGCAGCAGACTTGGGTGTGCAAAAAATCAGGAAGAATATTTGGTGGGGTTTATTTTTTTTTTCCTTGATGCACTAAACATACTTCCTTTGCATTCCTGGATCCGCAGTTTGCTCCTGCGCCTTGGCCCTGGTGCAGCTGAGAGTCAGCAGAAGGTCTGGCGTGTGGGACCAGACCTGCTTCATCACCCACACTGCACTGCCAGGCACCTCTCCTGTCACGGTCACAGATATCTCTGAGTTTGTCTTTCAGTCACTGTGAGCTTTGCCCTGCCAATTCGCCTTACCCTGAACTGTTCTATTTCTGTCCATGTTTGTATCTTTTCAATTAAGGACAATTTAGCTTCTCATGCCCTGGCACGTAAAGCAAAGGAATATGCGAGTCCTTGGAGCTTTCTACCATGGGAGCATATGCCTGATGATTGCTGTGCTTTTTATATTGTATAAGATCACTTTCAGTGAAAACAGCCTTTAAATAAAACCAACCTACGATAACTTAGATTGGCATGAATAATGAGTGGAGACATATAAAGTTCTATAAAATAGCGATTGGTCTAAGGAAACCCATGCAGTTCCTCCTCCTTTGATTGTTCTTCCATATCATGAGATCAGAATGCACTAGGCAACTAAAAGATGGCTTGTGCATATTAGACAGAGGAAGTACTTTATCTGTAACACATCTTAGAATGTGGAAACCATTGTTACCAATATTCTTAAGGCAAAACCAGCAACTTGCTATTTTATTTTGTAAGGTTAATGCTGAGAATGAAAAAGGGAGCTAGAAGAACGCAGAATTGTCAGTTGAAAGAAAAATTGCAAGCCTGCTAATCCTTTTTTGTCAGGTTTAACATAAAGCCTGGCAGAGTTTGATAAGAAGTGTCTCCCTCTCTGCCTGGTGTTCCAGGTGCATGGTAAAATCACCTCTCTGAAACATCCAGGGAAGCTCACATGTAGAGCCAGGCTTCAGTCTGGAAGGGCTGTTGGCCAGTCTGATACTGCAGGTCCTAAGACCATTTTAAATGGCTTTATTCTTTCATTTTTCTGCCTGCAACCTGAAGAATAGCTGTCCCTCCTCTTCTCATCCTTTATAGGTGCAGGTTTATGTTGCAGCCCCTCTCAGTGGCTGTTGCTCTGCTGCTGATGCTGTTGTGCTGAATGACCATCCCTCTCGGCAGCGGGCAGGGAGCATCTGTGGCACGCACTGCTGGGGGACAGGGGACTGATCCCTGTCACTCGCCTCTGCTCCTTCTTCAGCGAAACGCTGTGGTTGGTGGTGCTGTGGGATTGGCAGCTCTCCCATTGGCAGCAGCAAAGGTGATGTAGGTGTGGGTAATCATTGGCAGCAATGGCAGGATGCAGGGGAAAATAGTCTCGGATGATCTGGAGCTCCTGCATCCCTGGCTCTGGCCTGGCAGGAGAGCCTGGAGAGTGGAGCAAACCCCTGGGCTAGCAGGAGATGCAACGGGTCCTGCCCGCACAGGAGTAAGGGCAGCCATGGAGCAGTCGAGTCTGGCCACGGGGAGCAGAGAAAAGACCCAGCCAGACCCAGGGGTTCCCTCTGTTCCCCACGCGGGTATTTCTGACTCTGTGCTCCTTCCCCACCTGTGTGCTGGTAAAACCTGGGGAGCTGAGCAAGTGCTTTTCCCAGGGGAGGGGGGTTGGTGAGCTCACATCGCTTGTGCACAGCCTCTGAAAGAGGCAGGTTTCACATTGTTTGGTTTCTCTTTTTGTAGCTGTCCCTCCCAAACTGAAGAAACTGAAAAGCCCAAACGTTCATGTCGGTGAAAAGATTTCACTGAAATGTGAGGCGACTGCTGGAAACCCTCAGCCCTCCTACAAATGGTTTAAAGATGGCAAAGAGCTGAAGAAGAGCAAAGACATCCGGATCAAGTATGGGAATGGGAAGTAAGTATGCTGTGGGGCTGCTCTGCTTTGCTCACTAATGCAGGGTGTCAGGGTCTGGGGGACCATCTGGCTAGGAGTGCTGCTGTGCTGAGCGATGCTGAGATGCTTCCTTGGAATCACAGGACCACACACAGCCCATTTACCTTGCCTGGGATAGTGAGGAAGATTCCCAGTTTCCTCAAAGAGTAGCTAAGCTAGAGGAGCAAGGTGCATGCAGGATAGATGCTGGATTTGTAGATGGGGCTCTCCTTGGGTAACTGCATTGTTTGGTATCTGAGATGATGGGTGCCCAGTGACCTGGGGAGACAGCTTTTTCCCTGCTAGATGTAGACTGGTTGTAGGCAGCTCAGATTACCTGCGGTGAGTCCTGCTTTGTGATTAAGTGTTTAAATGCAGAAGCAGTCACCCCACAAGCAAACAGCAGGCCTGCGTAAATGTGGGAGGAATCGCTCCATTCTCACTTTAAGTTGGGTGGACTCAAAAGCATCTAAGGTGATTGCAAGGATAAAGAACACATCACAATTAGGACCTGGAGTTACTCGCGACCTTGTGTTGCTGCACCCAGGGCAAGCTCCATCACGGCTGCCCCAAAGTTCCCCCGCAGAGAAGCACTGGGGCTGCTGCTCTCAGTGAGTGTCCTCCTAGGGACTGCCTCATTCAGGCAGTGCAAGAACACCAGGAGAAAGAGACCCTAGTGGCTAGGCTAAGGGGTTCTCACTGGGAATTTATTTAAATGGATCCATGTTGATATTTTTCAAGGCCAAATATTTACATATGATGTATCTTAAAATTATTCCACAATCATTACTATATTTACATTCATATATCCTGACCTAGCCGGCAGCAAAGTCAGCTTGCGACTGCCCAACTCCTTGGAAAACCTGAAAGTAATTCTTTGCTAACATACGTTATGTCTGAGTGCGTGAAAAATAGCTCACTCCTTCTCATTATGGACTCGACAGAGTATCAGTTTTCAAAATTAGAAGCCACTAAAAAATCAGTTAGAAAAATCAGTAAGTGCTCAAATGGGTCATTGTCAATTGCTCTAATTTAATTTCAGTCCCGTTAGTTTTGATTTCAAAGTTCAAACCCCAAATGGGTGAATTCCTTCATAATACCTGTAGGATTCATGGCTGTTTGAGGATGAGGCAGAGAGGTGGTCAGTGGAAGGCTTAGGCTGGAAACACCAGTGGATCCAGGATAACTGGCTTGTATCTAATGGATGCTGTCTGCTCAGGGAGGGCTGTCGGGGCATGCAGGCACAGAGGTAGGACAGAACTGGGCCTGCCTGTTTGCTCTGTTGCCCTCAGCATTTCTGTGGTCCTCGTCAGCCTCATGGCATCAGTTGTTTACCGATGGGTACTGGAGCTGGGATGCCCTGCAGGAATGTCTGCGCCACCCACCGCAGCCAGGCGTGGGAAGCCTGACAGTCCTTGTGGACACTGCATGTGGACACTGCATCCTTGCGGGCAGGCAGCTCCTGGGACCCCCGGTGTGCTGGCGCTGGGGTCTTGCAGGGATCTTGGGGAGCTATTTCCCATAGAGCTAGAGACCAATCAGCCCCAGACCAAACACCCAGCAAAATTCTCTGGGGAGAGATCCTGGCAAAGGCAAAAAGCGCCTCTTGCAGCATTTCCCTGCTGTGCTCCCAGAGATCATAGTCCTTCCTTGCCTCCTGGCACCCCATGTCCAGCACGAAGCTGTGACAGGATGGCATCCCACCCACAGCGGTGCAGGGGGGGCACACACTCCCTGGGTCAGGGACATAAACATATGGAAGAAGGTTGCTCCTCTTTCCTCAGGACACTAGTGTCAAGTCATAATTTTGCATTTACCAGTTTCCATGGCAACATGTTGGCTCACAGCCTGCCAGTGACAGGACAAAGACATGTGCATGCTAGAAGTGCTTCCTGCTGGCAAAATAAGCTCAAGGATAAACATTTTAAAGCAAGCTGAGCACCTGCCTCCTCCAGTGTCTGAGGCTTCTTCAGCAGCAAAGGTGTGAGCCCAAAGGATCCCCCACTGATCTGCCCCCGGAATTGCTTCCCATCCTGCTTCTGCTCCCTGCTGCTGTTAAAACATGCAATTAAGTGGAGAGATTGCCAGTCTGGGCCCAGGACCTGGCTACGGAGGCTGGATTCAAGCAGCTGTCGAGCTGGGACAGCTCTGAGACGATAACCGCTTGCTGACCATTTGCCCCTTCTTGAGCAGGCAGCAGTGCAGGAACACTTCTCCAAGCAGATCTGAATGGGTTTGTGGACACCCAGTCTGGCATCCTCAGCCTTCAGGCTCTCCTCTCCACTGGGTTTGCTAGGTCTCGGGTCTTGAAAACACCTGGAGGGCAGAGTGCTCTCTGACATTGGACCTGCCTCCTTCTGGTCTTGACTGCATGCAGTAAACATCAAAAATTGCTCTGTGCATGGAGGCTGAGGATCGAGGGAGCCCTCATGACCTTGCATACCTGCATTAAGTAGCTAGTGGGGCTAAGTTCAGTAGAGAGACCCAAAACTGGACATGGTATATGGGTATACATCATTACTTCCACCAGGTTAGGAGGGGAAAGACAAACACCCTAACATGTAAAGCTAAGAAAGGATGTCTCACTCTATGATGATTAAATCAAGATTAATGGGCTTTATACCCCATATCTGGCTCCTCTTAGAGATGACATTGCTCTACAGATAATCCTCTGCTCTTCCTTTCAGTTCAGAGTAGAGTGGGATTTCCAGAGGGCTAGAAATAGAACACTGGGAAGGGACTTTTCATAGAGAAAGTACACAAGGCAAAAAGCTTCATGGACTATGCAGCACCGGGCCAGGTGCATGGGATCATTTCTTTAAAAGTTTGATCCAAAGATCTAATAGAGCTGCCTGCTGGAGTCAAACCGAGTCCTGCCAGGATGTAGAGGTGTTGTCCATTGTGTTTCCCTTGGCCCTGTGAGTCCCTGGCAGGGCTGGGCAGAGCTTTGTGTTGGACTCTTTGTCTGCAACTCTGCGGCCCTTAGGCAACATGCAGAGGATTAGGAGGGGAGACAAGAAGAACATGGTTGCCCTCCGTGAGTCATTCCTTTACTGCTCTGTGCCTGGCTTTCCTCCTTGTGTGTTTAAAGACCCTTGAGATCTCTAAGTAGAAAGCATGACGGAAGCCCCCTTTTTTTTTTTGTGATACAATTTTCATCTGATCCCACTGGCCTTCTTAGAGTAGGAGATCTCTTTTAAAATAAGGGAAGTATATGTTGTAAGGAGGAGAAGAGCAGTTAACTGCATGTCAGCTTTTTGGCTTTTCCATCAATCGTCTTCCCTCTTGTTTTTTAAACTTACCGGCAAAAATTCTGGTGCCATCAGGTGAAGGAGTCTTTTTTTTTTTTTTTTTTTTTTCTAAGAAAGTTGAAGGTCTTGGTCTTGTGTTCTTGGTTCCATGATTTTCTTGTGAACTAGAGTCAAAGCCAGTTAAAATAAAATCTATTAAATTTCATAGGAGTTGGGTCAGGCTTTCTGAAAAAAATAAAGATTTGAGATCTGATACGCTGGCAAAATCCTAACCTTTGGCTCTGCGTGTATAATTTAGGGTATTTTTATATTTTCATGTTACTAGTGCTCTGGCAAAATAATTAGCCTTTCTGAACAGATACTTAAAACATTGCATGCTTTATCTGATGGCTGGTACACGATACAGTTTTGAAACTAAAAGTTGATAGA